CAACCTTACGACGCGACCAATAGTAACCAAAATAGGGACAACGTAGACGACAACTAATAGTAACGAAAATAAGGACAACTTAACAATGACTACAATAGTAACCAAAATGTGCATGTGCGCGTGCGTGTACGAAAATAAGCACCTGTACGAATATAGGCACCTGCGCGTGTAGTACAAAAATGGGAACCTGCAGCGCATGTACCAAATTACGCATTTGCGCGCGCGTGTACTAATTACGCACTGCAAGCACATATACCAAAATGGGCACCTGTGTGCACATGTTAAAAATAAGCACCTGTGCGTGCATGTACCAAATTACACACCTACGCATGCATGTACAAAATTACACATCTGTGCGCACGTGTACCAAATTACGTACCTACGCATGCATGTACCAAATTACACATCTGCGCGCACATGTACCAAAATGGGCACCTAGGCGCACATGTACCCAAATAAGAACCTGCGCGCGCATGTACGAAAATAGGCACCTATGTACATGTGCGCGCGCATTAACCAAATTACGCACATGCGTGTGCATGTACGAAAAAAGCACCTGTGCGTGCATGTACGAAAATAAGCACCTGCACGCTCATGTACCCAAATGTAAGTGCGCGCGCATTAACCAAATTACGCACCTGCACGCGCATGTAAGAAGCACTTGCGCGCACATGAAACAAAATAGGCACATGCACCAAAATGGTAACATGCATGCGCATGTACAAAATTATGCACCTGTGCACGCATATACCCAAAGTACGCACCTGCATGTACCCAAGGGGCTAATTGGGTCAAATGGAGATTAGGCCCATTCTTGTCTTATTTTCTTGCAGGGATATCAACGTGCTTTTTAAGTGGCATGCAGTTATTCTTGTCGGTGAATCAAGCAGTCCCAACAATTGGACTCGCTGATGATATTCATTGAAAGTTTATTACTGTATTTAAGACAGCGTTAGAGCATATTTTACATTGATTTGTCAACATATTCCAGCGGATTTTAAATGGCTTTTCCACAAATTTCAATGTAGATTCTTCACCAGTGAAGTAACACGTAACAAGAAGTCCTAAAACTATCACACTAGAATTGTGGGTTTAACTTTGGGTAAATATTGTTTCATTATATTTTGTCTTGTTTTAGTGGAATTCTTGAAGCTCTCCTATAAATTTTAGCTGCAGTTCAGTTTAAGGTGCCGTTACTTGAACTTAATTTAGAGCGAGCACCATCAGGTTCTTGGTGATGAACAAGTTATTACATTTGCTGTAAGCACACAGATTTTAGCGTTGGCTCCAATATTGTTATAATTCCATTTCCTATGTTTATTATTTAATGAAAGTACTTTAAAAATCATGTAAGAACACTGATTTCACCACTTTGGTGTATCATTGTTATTTAGGTAGACTACAGTCAGTGCAACGTAACTTAACCTAACTTGGGGTTGTTTTTATTTGTTTAATAATTGTATTTCACAATTTAGTTTACAAGGGGAGGACAGACCATCAATTTGTGGTAGTGTTTGACATGGTACCTACTGTATTGGAGCTCAATAAATATTTACATGGTGTGAAATCTACGTCATTCTCCCTCTTTATAGCTCAACCGTCGTACCCGTTGGGGAACACAGCCCCATCAGAAATCCGCGAACCTCCTGTTTTTTACGAGACTTCTCAGATTTGCACTAATTAATCAAATTAATGTTCACTTGATGCATATAGCACTTTAAAAAATGAATTGTCCCTCAATACTCTTGTGTTGACTTCGGGGGCACAAAAAATTAAAAACCACACAACTGACCATTTTCTCCAGTAGCAGTTATAACCTATTAAACATATTGCAAAATGTTAAAAAGAAATGACGTAAACTAGATTGACAATTTATGTATATGTTTTTCCTAAGTAATAATGTTTCTTTGCATTTTACGTATTTAAAATGCTTAAGTTTCCTACACACCAGTTTATAAAACTTTTATATCACAGGAAATATATTTCAACTTTCATGAATCTAAATTACAGATGGCTCCACCATCCGAAAGCGCTCGAGTCGTAAAGTATCATATCCTTGTGTTAAATTAATTTTTTCTACCAAGTAGTTTGTTAGTAGTCACAAGTACTATCAATATAAAGAGCTTGTAAAATATACCACTTCAAAAACTGCATTAAATAACTTTCCATATTTTGTGTGTCTTAATAGCAAGTTCAATACCCTTTGCGTTTTAATAATATTCGGAAAACAACCGAATAGTCAATGATGGATGGTATCAGTTTACTAATAATATTAATAGAATACACTGGATGTGAAAAACATCAGTTCTGTTGATTTTCAACAGAGACATCTTCCTACTACAAAGTAAGCGTTACATTCTCTGCTATATATTCATGATGAATTATATCGATATGCATTATTTTCATTCCATCACTAACCCTTTTAGGGTCTTAAATCATTTTTCACACCGACAAACTATTAATACTGTCATTCTACTAGAGTCTACAGCTAAACATTAATGTGTTGTAGTACTTTATCTCAGATGACAAGCTGCTCTAAAGCCTAAGCCGTTTAATGGGTTTTCATTGGTCATAAGACGTTGTGTAAAACTGTGCATGAAATTTAGCTTATACACATGTTGCATTGTTCAATCAATAAGCATTAAATTATGACAGTACTTGAAGCTAACAACTAGTGTATGTGTTAGGTAAGGCTTTATATTAATTGTTACTTTAATACTGATTAAAATCTCTAATATATTTAGTTTTATTATACTTTCATATTTTATATTGTTAGCTTAGAATATGGCTTTAGGGCTAACCTAAATCTCCTTTGATATCCAAATCTCAAGATATTATTGAGTTTACAGCCAAGAATATCTTTAACAGCAAGGGTATCCTACAGATGAAATAATGCATTCTAATCCTTTGTAAGTAAGAATATTATATTTAATTATCTATACTCATTACCAAATTGATTGATATTTTTATTACTGATCTAAATAGGAAGCTTGCTCTGATCAAAAGTTAGTATTAAACATTTTTTTTAGACTTTGCATCCTTACTACAATAAAAAACAACACCTCATCCACTTAATCTTTTTTTATTTTTATTTCACAGTGTTTGAAAAAAAAAGTTAACGTTTTCTGCGCAGCTGCAAGGTGTTCCTTCTCTTCCAGCAAGCACGACGAGAACCACCAATAGTCTTGGAGTACCTATGACCTTTACCCAAACCACGAGACTTGCGGCCAGCTGAGGTCAAACCACGTAGTTCACGATGCTTATGAACAGCATTAGCTATCCAGTTGGCTTTAGGATCGTGACGAACAGCCTTGTGGTATGGATCAATCAGGATAACCTCAAAATATTTATATGTAGAATCCTGTGCTATCCAATATGAATTCATAACTCGAAGAGCTCCACAACGTCTGCCAACACGTTCCTGAAAGTATTAATATATCTATAATTTTTACTTTATAACTAATAGCTCTGTCTTAAACAATACCAAATTGCCTCAGACATCCAAGGATAGTAATCACAAGAAACTCATTGAATGTTTTCATCACAGAGAACTTCTGATAAAAACTCTTTACAATCGATGTATTATCTAATACTTAAATAAAACCTGTGAATTTACTTTAAAAAAAAGTTTTTTTCAGGTTAATCTGTTTGATTTACCACTGACTGCATTAGACCAATGTTGTGACATCATAACTACAATAATTAACACCATGGAAGGAAAAAGCAATAAAATATTTACAAACTTTCAGTAACAACCCACTTATTCCTGCCATCATTTGAGCTTTCTTGACAACTGGAAACCAAAATAAATCCCTAATTTTAAACTCTGACTAGTAAAGCTTCTTAATCTAAAGTATTTCTAAGAATTGTATAATATTATACTTAAACTAACATTTATTTAAATATTGTTCCCATTTTAAAAGAAAGAAGCAAATGAGCACCATTAACCCCACATCTAAGAAGAAGAAGAAAAAAAAGGGGGGGGAGACTTAACCTTTCCACACAAATATATCAATACAAGAAAAAACTTACCTCAGCAACTGACTGCTTGTTTCGGACAGGCTTCAGTTGGTTTACTCCATGATTTTTAGGTTTTCCATAAGTACAGCCCTTAGGCACCTGTTTCTTGCGACCTCCACGACGGATTCTCACTCGGTAAATAACATAACCTAAAAATAAACAAATAAATGTAAGAAATAAGAGAAACTGTAATGTAATGCAAGCTATTATCTGAATAAGAAAAAAAAAAACTGTTTTCAACTGATTTTTTAACAAGATTTTTAAAAAAATAAGAGAAAAACACTTTATCGAAAATAAGTTCCTTCTATTTTAAAAGATATGCTATAAAATAGGTTGGTAATTTAGATAAGAACTCACTTTAACATTCTCACCAAAAATGAGCATGAGATAGGTAATTGTGTGGTATTTTCAGGTAAAACATATTTCTTGACAAAATATGGTGAGTATTCTGTAGTTAATAATTCGACCAAATTTTAAGCCGCATAAGAACACATTTGAAGGACAGAAAACAATATTTTGACACAACAACAACAAAAAATGTGCATACTAAAATCGTCAATTGCTTCTACTAAATCAGCGAATAACTTGTCAGCTTTCCATCCCTTAAGATGAATCTCTGCCGAACTAGTCATGATGAAAACTGAAAAGAACAGACCAAATAAAGTGTGCCTGAATTCAAAAAGTAAATTCACATTCTTTGTCCAGTTGATAATGTCACCTCATGACATTTGTTCTTCCACAGCATTAGTCAACTGTTACATTTAGTTGATATCATGCTCAATCAAAGGATATTATAGTGCCAATCCTTTTAACACGGATGTTATATGTTACTGCAATATCCTTTCAAGCAGAATAGACATCCGTTATAAATAACAAAGAAACAATGCAACTAGAATAACATAATCTTAATGACTTTCTGAATCACATGTTGCTATTACAGCACGGAAATTTAATAACCAAAAATTTAAAAATCAAATCTAAGTCTTCATAGTTCAGCTTTCCAGAATCAAGTATCATGATTAGAAAAAACTTTTCTACAGTTTTTAAAGAATGTCAACAATGTTACTAAAATTCAAATTACACTCAGCTTCTGAGCTCTTCTTATGACACCTAAATACCTAGTCCATAAAGTTAATCAGTATGCTTTAAAAAACAAAAGACGAAACACTCACTAAAATTTTACAGGTCTTTCTGAATTAAGGATTGTTCTAAGAAATAAAAAATTATTAGAAACAAGTTAAACAGGTATAAAAAATGCTATTTAAAAACCAGCAATCTATATGATCCAAGAAAGCTCTTTTGTTTCAATTTTTATCATATAAAAAAAGCCTACATTCTATTCAACATGTGCATTTAACATAGTTTTTATCTTAAATTTCTGAAAATGTCTGTTAAAATCTGCCTGAATTTTTAATAGAATTAGGCCCAACACTTAAAAACATTTTGATTGGAGTACTGTAACTGCTGAAGACTTCTCATAGACACTTACTCAAATACATTATCTTAGTACCCACAAATGCTTAAAACATTGATGGGAAACAAGATGATTTAAGTAATGAGTTTCAGAAGTTAAACCACACTCATTCTTTGCACTTAAAATCCAGTCTTTAGAATCATTTGTCTACCAAACCAGATTTGAATTTTAAGTGTTTACTGAGTTTATATACAAATTTTAAAGTTATATCTTACTGTCTACAAACTTAACCCTTTTGCAAAATGAGCCCATTTTAAACACTTTTTTTTGCAAAAGTCACTATGTTTCATTCAAAATTTAATTAAATACCTTTAATATCAATGTATGTGAATGAATTTAATATTATGTGTGTTATGATTCACAGTTTTATTTTAACCAAGTTTTAAGTCCTTTATTTTAAAATAAACCTTTAAAAAAGTACTTAAAATTTCAGATGTATTGTCACATAACCAATGACCTATGAAAATTCTTTACTTTGACACATTGCATCTTCAATAATACAATGGCAGTACTGAACAGGTATGTCTAGACTCTTTCATTTCAAAGTTCTCTGAATGAATACAGTTTGAACAGGCAATATATTTTTTTAACCCAACAGCTGCCATGTCTATCTTCAACAGACTTGTATAGTGCAATTGTATAGCCATTAGAAAGATATAATTTTACAGTATAACCCAACAATGATTATTTTGAAATTGGCACCAACTTGTCATGGCAGGGTACATGTATTTGATTATAGTATGGTTGGCTGTTTGATCAACTATAGCACTTACGGTTGTTTCTTACCTAAATATGTTGTAGTTAGAGATACAGTTTAAATTGTATTTAGGTCTTACTACTATATTTTAGTTATGTTTTAAAATGCATAATGAGGATTATGATATTAAGAGCTTAACGACAATCAAAGGGTTGTGCATATCTCCCAAAGTAACTAATATGTCTTGGGGGTACCATTGACTTGTGTATCGAGATGAATATTAAAACATTAAAAATTAACTATATGTAAAAGGGAAAAGACCCAAAATTACTATTACAAGCAAAATAACATTTTTAAACATATTCTACAAAAAATTAAAAAGTATGTATTTTTTTTTCTATTTCCTAATTTTAATTATTTCATTGCATTGTACGTTAATGATAATAGCTAGAGTTAGGGATAAGGTAAAGAAATTGAAAAATTAAATTAAATATTTACCTTACAAAAATTTTTGATATACTTTTAGGAGGTTCTACAGATTATGCAAATGAAATATAAAAACTATAACATGAAGAAGGGTATTTTGATACTTAAAAAATGAAAATCACCTTGCACTTGATTAGTTAATAGATTGAATGCAAGTAACTAAAACAGAAAAATAACAATTTTATTAAAAACACTTAATTATAAAACCCATCATTATTTGTGTACAAGATACTTAGGACTTTTAACAAAATCTTGCCAGTTTTTGAGAGGATACATTAAGAATCCTCAGAGTTACCGCATGTATTGTTGTACCAGTGAAATTCCTGACTATTTCTGCAAGTTGCACGAGCCCACTGTGAAAGGGTTAAAATACAACAATTCAATACATTTTAGCTTAATGGTGAAAGCATATACACATATGATAAAGCCTCAAGTAGTAATACTCCACAAGCAGAATATGAATGAAACAAAAACCTTTTCAATTTCATTCATCTCACCCTCATATCTAAACAATAGAAGTGCTAAAAGTTGGTATCCTCATATATATAAATTGCCAGTTGTCACTACAGGATGAAGGTTATAAACTTTTTTCCATCTTCCATGTTTTACTTTTATAAATAATTTTCAGTACTTCTTGCCAAGCTTATTCTTAACTGCTAATCAATGTGATTAAAACAGCTTCAACCATTACCTACACACTACAAAAAACAAGATTCTTTAGGTAAAAAATAATTTCTTGTGGGATTGGGTTACTGGAAAATATTCTCTATTGGTTTCAAATTTCCTTCTTGTTGCTTTATTATTGGCCAAAATAATTACAAGTGAGAGGTCTGACTGCTTTATAGGCTAGTTGACAGTTTTTAATAATGTCCTACTTAACTTTTTCAACACAGGCTCGGTCCCTGGAACAGACCTTGTAACCATTTTGTGTTTGTCACAGTTTTGCATTAATTTATAATCCTTTGTCTTCTACATACAGAACTTCCACTAGTTACTTCTCAGAAATCTTAACTTACGGCTCACTTAAGTATTTATACGACACTAATATAGATACGATCTTTTTCTTCCCAATCATGTTTGGAAACTATGACTTATTAGTTACCGACTAACCTGCTTGCTGTGGCATCATAAACCTCTCAGTACAGAAATTTTGAAAGTTACTGAAACTTAAGAAATGTCACACAAGAAAAAACCTCGAATAAATCTTATTTCTAAGGGATACCTGGGACTAAGTAAATATAATTTTGGAAGGCTTTTTTTTTATATATTAGACATCCTATGGACCTGCACAGAGATCAAAGTTCAAAAACTTTTGATTTTTCTTTACAAATTATACGACATAAAATTTTCAGTTACAAAATATTAATTCTTGGATATTTGACTAAAAAATATTGTAATAGAGTTAGAATAACTATCTTTACTTAAGTTATAAAAGTTGTCTTATAATTGTAATCTCAATGCCCTCACAACCCAGGAAAGCTGCTCATTAGCCCAGTTAAGGTTAACATAGCTTAATCAGTACTACTACAGCATGCTGTCTACAAAGACAATTACATTTTACAAAATCCTTCTATTAAATAGGTGATTGGAATTTTTCTTCATTTTGTTTTTAGAACACTAACAGTTACTAATCTGTATTTGTCTAATTTCAGAACTTAGAAAAGTCTAGTTGCAAAACTAGCTTATGTTACTGGCCTGGGTATAAGGAAGTTTTTTCACTGATATCACAACTCACACTACTATGAATAACAGAAGAAATCAGCTTTAAAAAAAAATACATCAAACCAAAAATACTACTTAAACCCCCAAAAATTTATATATTATAAAAATGTTTAAAATTAACATACAGATCACAAATAGAATTCAATTCTGTTATGTAAAAAATACCCCCCTAACAAAATAACCTTTCTATCCAATGCCAATATAACAAATAAATAAAAAATAGTTCCCCTCCCTGGCTTCATTAAGAACATCCTGCTGAATGTATTTATAAGCAGCACAATTACTCCTCTAGGGTTCTCTCCCCACATTTTTCTTAAAGTTTCCCCTTTCCTGTGATCATATTTGTGAACCATCTTGCTAGCAATCAAAATTAAAATATGCAAGTTATTCTTGCTGACCACAGTTTAAAATGGCTGTAAAATATTAATAATGGGGAACTAAAGTAAGCCTACAATGTAACAAAAAGTACAAAGCTATACTTCAGACAGATGAGCTTGAAAATGACACAGACAGTAGCTAAAACAACATTCTGAAAATCAGGTTACATAAATTATATTTTAACAAGGAATTAGTACCTGAATACAAAAATTTCAACATACTTAGTCCTTATTTTTAATGCTTCTTACTGAATTATTATTCAAAAATGTTGCTGAAACAGCATACATGCATAACCTAGTTACTGTTCATTTCTCTAGAACTATCAGAGCTGGGCATGTGCACATTGGCAAAACACTCAATCACCAACCACTCAAAGAAAATTCTAAAACTCGAGTTTCTCAGACTGAAAGAAAACAATGGAAACAGCCCCAAAACAAAAGCACTAATATAAAAAACTTACTTGCAAAAGAAAACATATTAGAATGAAATAAATCAAAATTTATCATACTTGCTTAAAAAAATTAAACAAAACTGCATATCTCAAAAATAGTGCACAAATTAGCACAAGTAGGTTCACATTATGTGTAGTTTATGACAGACTCCTCAGACATCCAAGGAAAAAAAAATCAGTGTGCTTCAAGCACTCAACTTGATGTTCTCATCACTGGTAATATCTGTCATAACAAGAAATGATTTAGTAACAAGTTGAAACAGAGTTCAACAACTATCATCTTTTACCTTGTTTGGCTCTGTAGCCTAGACGACGAGCCTTATCGGGACGTGTTGGTCGAGGAGCACGATGTACACTTGTCAGCTGTCTATAATGCCAGCAACGAAGTCGCAGCAGAAACCGCATAACATCAGATTGCTTCTTTCTCCATAACTCCTGCATATACTTGTAGGCCCCCATTTTGTAAAAGGCCACTCACTGAAACAATTATATAGTCTTTAATACCAAATTTTGAGTCAATATTCCATTAACTAGCTATATTGTTTCACACAAACTATTTTTTAGATCTTATTAATTGCTTCTATCAACGGGTACAATTGTTAATTGTCCAGAATATTAACCGATATCCTCAGTTTATGCAATTAAATAAGGTGATTATTTTAACAATGATTGTCTTCCACAGATTAGCTATCTCAGTCTTAAACACTTTAATAAAATATAAATCATTTTAATTGATTACTTAACCTTATAGAACAAATTTTTCTTTGTCCACCTCCCTCACGAAGAATTTAACTTCTAATTCAAAATGCAGTTTATTTCTTTACCACCATAAATTGTCTATCACTATCCTAATGACATTTTCCCACTGGAAAAAATCAGTTGTGCACTTACTTTAAATTGAATTTTATAAATACAGCTAGAAAGACTTAACCAATTTTATAAGGTGAAGTATACAAATAAGCAAGTATTATGTTGCATTACAAAAAGTGAAATTATGGATTTTTCTCCTTTCTAAGAACATATTTGTGTGACATTAAAGCTTGTTTATAATGTCAAGGTTTTATGCTCCATCCATAACACCCACTGGCAATGTTGATGATCAATGTAAAAAAACAATAGTAGCAGAAGTACGACCACATTCCCTACAAGTTATGACAGATTCCTCAGACATCCAAGGAAAGAAAAATCAGTGTGCTTCAAGCACTCAACTTGATGTTCTCATCACTGGTAATATCTGTCATAACAAGGAATATTAAACACAACGTAAATTTGAATAATACTAAACTGCCTCGTTTACCATAATTCTTGCATATACTTAAAGGCCCTAATTTTGCAAAATGGTACTGTATGTATAAACTAAAACATTAATCTTTATATATATAAAATTCTGCATCTCTGATGTTTATTTACATATGTTTACACAATTATATTATCAATTACTTTTTTGGATGATGGAGTAATGTAAGTATGTGTTAGTTAAAATGTGTTGGAACAACCTTTCCTTAGAAAAATAACTTGTAAATAATTAAGATTTTGAGCATTATGTACAATATTATATTATTCCTAAATGGATTTCACAAAACTGCAATCTCTTCTTTCACCTAACTCATCCATCAAAAAATGAATCATACAATTAATAATACCTATTGCTAAATTACAAAACACAATCTAACTTTGGTCTGGACCTAACTATAATAAGAGATAGCAATGTCAACTAACAGATCAAGCCATAACCATAGACTAATACACCTAACAGAGTTAAGATCTTACAAAGGCCCATTTCACGTTGTGCCAATTTACTTTTCATGAACTACAGTAAAGCAAGTTACAATCCTTTTCACTGTATAAAAAAAAAAGTATCGAACTGACAGATTTTCATTGTAAATATTAAATACGGATATATGCAGAACAAGCCACAAATTTTTTCAGGAAAGCAAGTTATATCACTTGTACATGGTATAGTGAGCAGACTTATTCTAGTTTTAGTTATAACTTGTAATGATATTTAGACTATAATTTTCAAAAACAAATAATTTGAAGATCTTTTGTTATGTTTAAACAATGTTTAGTAACTTCTGTCTTGCACTACTGTATTTTTTCCACAATTCCTTTTTTTTAAATTAAGGAAGTAATTGTTTTTGGATTCACTCAAATCCATCAAAAGGCAAAAATCTTGCAAAGTGTGGACTAGAAACAATGAACTCCAGTGTACATAAATTGCCCACAACAATAAAATGTTCCAAAACTGAGGCACTCAATTCAATTTCTGATACTTAAACAGAAGCTAAAATAATTAATTTATTATACAAATTTTTCACCTCAACTAACATCAAAATGTTTACATACACATGAAATGTTACACCACTCACAGATAGTTAGGCCATTAATGGAATTGGCTAATTGGTTGTCAGGCTCACTAACCAATTATTCTCACAAAATGGCTAAAAAATATAATATAAACATTTACAACACTAAAAACCAGGGTTTGATACCTACACTAAGAACAACCTATACAGCCCATTGTGTATGTTTCTGCTTAATAAAAAAGAAACAATGATAATATTTTGATTACTGGCTAGCTGGAATAATAAAAAACCCTCATTTCAATTAGTTGATTATTATTGTGATTCATGACACTAAGTAACCCTCTACATACAGGGCTGGTTCTTCTGCACACATTTCACTGTTATATTCAGAATTTGATTTTACTACTCATGTATAACAATAAAATTAGCATCAGAGTATAGTTTATAATTCAACTATTTTACATTATCAAAGTTTTTATTTCATTAATCCCAAAGAAAACTTTAAATTCTCATTATTCATTCCTGTGTCACGACATGTCTGCATTCTCAAATCTCTTTCAGTCTCCATAACTTAAATATTATACAGCAACTACATTAACTTATCCTACACAATTCCAAGCTCAAATGTACAGGTTCAACAGATTAGCTTCTTCCTGTAGTGAAAAATAAATTTTCTTCTCAACCCACAACAGAAGCCATTCCCATCCATACTTAAATTCCAAGGAAGTTTTCAAAACCATGTGCTCTTATTTGATATGCATGTTTATAAACAACAGAAAGAGTATTTTAAACTACACCCTTCATAGTTTCCTTTGAAATTAGCACCAATAAATGTTGAGAGAGCACAGATTTGTCATTAAGTGCAAAGCTATCCTGTTTTAGCATTATAAGCCTTCAGAATTACCGCTAAGCAACTGGAGAGTATATTTGAAGCCCCTACAAATCAATGTTACACACTCATCAAAACACTTCACAACAACTTCAAATCTTAGATAAATTAATAAAAGCACCTTCTCAATAATAATTTTAGATCCATAAAATGATTCAGAAGTTCCAGCACTTTCAGAGTATTTTCAAATTGGAAGTGATACAATTCAATATCCAGATGTAGAAATTAATTTTTTTTTCCTTGTAACTTGGGATGCCAAATGTTTGTGACATAGTATCACAAAATATGATACCAAGCCATAAGTACTGCAGCTCATCACATAAAAACTTCAACGTAATTTGTCTGAATGCCACTATGACTAAAAACTATGCAGGAACTGTCAAATTTAACATTCATAGTTCATTAAAAAATATGATTGCATTGCAGTATTTAGTCCCTGTAATTGCATATCCACAAATTATAATGTACACTTAGACCCTAAATTGCATTCAATTAGTTTCTACCGAGCACCATTCTGTGTTCATTAGAATTAATCAACCAAACTAAGCAATATATAAGTAATTAAGGCACAGAACTGAATTAATGCACAGTTATATATATATATATATAA